GGGGGGGGGGGGGGGGGCTGCGTACGTCGCATGTCTCTAGTTTTGTGTTCTCGTCGGGCCGCAGACGCCCATACTGCAAGGAGGCCTGCTGCTGCTGCTGCAGTGCATTCCTCTCCCTCTGTGTGCGTGTGCGCCGGTTGCGTGTCTTTTGTGGCCGATGTGTGCTGGGGGTGGCACTGCTGCCGGTGGTGGTGGTGGTGGCGGTGGGGGGGATGCTGGCCCTTGTGTGTGGGGGGTGGGTCGACCGACCTGCAGACACACACACACACACACACACAGAGGGAGAGAGGGAGAGAGGGAGAGAGAGGGGATGGCGTCTCTAGATGGTATCCATCAAGGCTTACCTGTCTCTCTCTCTGCCTCTGCCCGTCTCTGTGTCGGTCTCGGTGTCTGCGCTTCTGCGTGGTGTTGCGCCAGCTCCCATTCGTCCGCAGAATCAAACACGTCGTCGCTGTCGCTGTACTCCTGCAGCCATCCACACACACACAAATGGGTGAGCGGCTGTGTAGGTGTGGGTGTGCCTACAGGTCTGCGCGTGTCGTTGGCAGCGGGCGAAGGCATTTGCAGCGCGTCGAAGGTGCCAATGGCGCCAGAGGCATCTCCAGGGGCGGTTTGGCTGTCCTATACGACACACACATCCACAAATCCACACAAAACACACACCCGCTCAGAATGCCCAGAGTGGTCACATACGTCGGGCGCTTGGCGAGAGGAAGACACAGACACAGACACAGAAGCCGCTTCTGCACACAACACACACACACCACTTGTGGTGGATGCTTGCACAATCGATTTCTAAGGCGTACGCCTGTGTGTCGTCGTCTCTCTGGTGGTGGTGGTGGTGGGCGTCTGCTGGGTGCTCGGCACAGCTGTGGACCTCTCCTAACCACACAATCACACACATACACATAAAGAGAGAGGGGGAGGGAGGGGGGGAGAGGTCACTGGCTGACCTGGTCCCTGTCTGTAAAGAGGGGTTGGCTGCAGTGCTCACACCGGGGATCCTCGTCTTTCGCCAGCTCTAGCTCCAAAGCATTGGGCAAGCTGACACATACAGAGAGAGAGAGATAGAGGGAGGGGGAGAGAGGGGTGGGTGCGTGTGTGTGTGCGTTACCCACCCACAGCTCTCGCAAAGGAAGTACTCAGGGGGATCCTTGTCTCTGTCTCGGTCATTGTCAGAGGCAGCCTGCTGCTCATAGACCAACCACAACAATGGATGGATGGATGGACGGACGGATGGATGGATGGATGGATGGAAGCACATGCACACACCCGGGCATACCTTTGAAGCACCTGCACCAGCATCAGCAGCAGCAACCGGGGGGTTCGTTGCTCGCGTCGCCGCCCGCTGCCTCTGCAAACAAACAATACTACCACCACCTCTCTACCTCTCCCCCCCCTCTCAGACACCCACCCCACCTGACCTTTTGCTCCTTCTTTCTCCTCTTGGTCTCCTTCCGCCGCTGATTGCGGGTCATGTGGGGGGCCGGCCGAGCCGAGGATGACGCCGCCTGCTGCTGCTGATGGGACCTGCACACACACACACACACACACACACACACGGAGAGAGAGAGAGAGGGAGAGGGTGAGAGAGGGGGTGGGTATCCATCCACTTGTGTGCCTGTCTGTTGTGTGTCTGTCTGTCGGTCTGCCTGTCTGTGACTGAATGATTGTGTGCACCTCCCTGTCTGTCCCCCCCACCGACCCCTCTGACCGTTCTCCTTCCTCCGTCCACAGCACCGCCCCGCACTTCTGGCAGGCGAACTCGTCAGCCTCTTCCAGGCCCTCTATCAGCATATTCTTGTACCTGACACACACGCACACGCACACACACACGCACATTAACACACACCAATTGTTAACACGCCCATCAAGCCATATTTTGGTGTGCGTGCATTGGCCTGTGCGGTGTGCATCTACATACCTGCAGTGAGGGCACTCGATGTGCGGCTCATCGTTTGGCTCATCGTTTTGCTCGTAGTCGCAAAAAAGGTCTCCTTCGGCGTCTTCAATGACATTCCCGTAGTCGTCATACCTATAAAAGTGCACACACATAGGCACGCACACACACACAGGGCACAGGGAGAGAGTCCGTCTGACAGTGTCTGTCAATGGCCGCATCTGGTGCCCGTATCTCTCAGTCACTCTCACCGTCTGTGCTCTCCTCCCTCGCCGAAGTCGCCAAATCCGTCGTCAGAACTCACATCCATCGCCACTCAGCGAGCTCAAAATCCTCAGGCTGGGGGCGTGGGGGGCCCGCCGTCTCGCCCGCCGTCTCACTGCCAGTGCCTTCGTTTCTCTTCCCTGTGTGCCGAGCGAGGGCAAGAAGAGCTAGTGCAGAAAGATCGAATCGACCTCATCGCTGGTCTGAGTCGCGCGCAGCAATGGGAGGTTTCTGTTCGCAGCCGCAGCGGAGCGCCAAGCATGTGGTCATCGTTGGAGGGTCGGTCAACTCGAACGAACGAACAGGGGGCAGGGAGGAGAGGAGGAGATGCATCTGTGCGTGTGTTTGTGTTTCACATGTGTCTGCAGAGGTTTGGGCGGCAAGTCGATGGCGGGCCTCGCAGACACAGCTTTCGCCGTCACTCTCGTCGAGAAACGGGGTACGGGGCACTGGGTAGCACTGGGGCGGGGGAAGCTCATGTGTGCAGAGGCATGCATTTGCAATTGCAATGCAGGTGCGATGATCTACAAGATCGGCATGCCCCGAGGCCTCGTCGACACCTCCTTCGCCACCGACTGCCTGGTGAAATGAATGCTATGACAATGCCTTTCTTGCCGACACTGTGTGTGTGTCTGTTTGGTTTGCAGGTGCCATACGACAAGCTGATGCCCAATGGCGGCACTGTGCGGACGGGTGTGGCGGTGACTCGTGTGGACGGCAGTGCGTCGAAGGTCCACCTCGACAATGGCAGCGACCTTTCGTACGACTACCTCATTCTCGCCGTCGGGGCCCGCAGTCACAGCCCTTGCGAGCCGCCCCCCAACGCCTGTGACGAGACATCCACTGCTGGCATCATTGAGTACTTCAAGAAGGTGATCGGCTCTCTGATCGGCAAATCGGCAGATCGGGAGCATTTCCGTCGGTCATGACGATGACGATGGTGTGTGTCATTGCAGGTGTGTGAGGAGATCAAGACGGCGAGCAGGGTGGTGCTAGTGGGGGGCGGGCCAGTGGGTGTGGAGCTGGCGGGGGAGATCAGGCAGGCCTTCGGGGCGGAGAAGAGCATCACCGTCTGCCACAGCGGGCCGGCGCCGTGCCACAATCAGCAGGGCATCGACACGCCAGCTGGTACTCTCACCGACCGAGAGAGCGAGCGACCGATAGCCATCCTCTCTCTCTCTCCTTTCCTTCCCTGGTCGTCGCTTGGTGCGTGCAGCCTTCCAGAAGAAGCTGCTCGACGCGTGCAAAGCCCAGAACATCGACCTGAAGCTCAATGTCAAAGCCGACCTGTCCACACCGGCCGTCCAAGAGCAGCTTGCCCAGAAGGGCTATGCCACCGGAGACCTCCCCATCACCCTCTCTGACGGAGAGGTCATCCAGGCTGACATGGTGATTTCCTGCATCGGCGCCACACCTGGCGGACAAACCCTTGAAGGCGTCACGTTGGACGGGAAGGGCGCGATCAAGGTCAACGAGCACCTGCAGGTGGAAGGCTTCGACGCGGGCAATGTGTTCGCCATCGGAGATTGCACCAACACCCAGGAGCTGCGGCTGTCCGGCACTGTAGGCCACCGACTGGGAGAAGGGAAGGAAGAATGTTTTTCCTTACTCTCTCTCTGTGTCTGTGTCGTTTTGTTTTTCAGGCGGCAGGGAAGTACAAGATGGGCATGATGGGGGCGACGGGCAATGCTGACGTGGTGTTTGACAACATCAAAGCCATCGAGAAGGGGAAGAAGCCGTCAGCCAAGATCGTGCAGCCGCCCAAGACGGCGATGATGATCGTCCCTGTCGGCACACACGACAAAGTACGCTACGCCTGTCGTGTGTGTCTGTGTCTCGCTGTCTCAATGTGTGTGTGTGTGTGTGTGTGTGTGCAGAAGATGGGCGCGGTGGTCGCTCCGGTGCCTAACATGAGGCACGGGACGCTGATGGGGTTCAAGCAGAAGGACTACTTCCTGAAGATTCAGAGAGACATCATGAACGCACCCCTCTCAGCCAAGAAATGACCAACGATCAGTGAATGGACAACGGGAACAATGTAATGAACACACACATGACAGCGTGAGCATCATGTGTCTGTGCGTGTGAGTGAGAGAGACAGGCACACACAGTCTGCCTGCCTATCTGCCTGTCTGTCTCCTTCTTTACGCCCGCGTGGCCGTCTTGTGGTTTGTTTGGCTTGATTTCGGTGCGCCCGTGTCGATTGTTCCTGTCTGTCTGTGTGCGGTGCATTCGGACGGACAGGGGGTGAGGGTGTGGCGCGGCCATGAGGTCGATACACACACACATCTGTCTCCTTCTTTACGCCCGCGTGGCCGTCTTGTGGTTTGTTTGGCTTGATTTCGGTGCGCCCGTGTCGATTGTTCCTGTCTGTCTGTGTGCGGTGCATTCGGACGGACAGGGGGTGAGGGTGTGGCGCGGCCATGAGGTCGATACACACACACAGAGAGACAGAAAGAGAGAGACGACGAGTGGACAATGAGCTCATGTCGAGACCCAATCACAGCCATCCACCAACATACACATTTTCCCCTCCAGACACGCTGCCCTACCTCCCCGCCACCGCCCCCTCCACCCACTGATCCCCTCGGCCGACGTCGATCTTTGGTGGGCCGGCCAGGGGAAATGCCCGGCCAGTGAGAAATGCCACACGTCAGTCAGTTTGTTGTGTGCATATGTCCGTGCGTTTGTTCATTGACGTCATGCGCCTTTCGTCCGTCTGAGTGAAGGTGTCCGTCCACTGCCCGTCCAGCCAGGCTTAATCAAGTCACACAGACAACCCATGTCAGGTCAGCCAGGCAGCCAAGCGATCAAAAACAGACGGGCGGCGGAGAAGGATACGAAACAGCAGCTGTCTCTTTGGCTGGGTGCGTGTGTGCGGCGTTCGCTCCAGCTCTATCTATCTATTCGCTTGGCTCGAGACAGACGGAGTGGGTCCTCACAGTGGGAAAAATAAGATAAATTCCCTTTGTGTCTGCCTTGGTCTTGACCTTGCAGCTGTAGCCTTTCTTGCAGCGCTGCAGAGGGCCGCAGGTTTCCAAGTGGTCGCCTTTTGTCTGCAAACACACGTACGTGTGTTGGCTACGTCATCGTCATGCACGAGTCATCATCAGTGCTTTCCCCCCTTTCAATTCCTTGCCTTGCATTTTCCAACATCATGGCGCCGGAGCGTGTCAGGGTCGCACTCGTGGTAGCATTTCTCTCCCTTGTTGGGACACTCCGAGTCGTTCTTACACTCACCTGAGGGCAGCCACACACAAACAGTCATCAGAGACAACGACAAGAACACACACACACACACACAGAGACATGAATGGCGAGGCGGTGGGTGGTGGATGGATGGATGGAGCATACCTACCTCTCGCGATCCGCTCTCGCTTCTGCTCTCGCTTCCGCTGTCTCCTCCACTCGGCCTCTCTGCCCCGTTCGTTCCACGACGATTGCCCGGAACCCCCGCCGCCTTCCTGGGCGCAAGCAGCGAACAGACAAACCACCACACACAGTGGGTGATTGAGCGAGTCCATCGCATTTACGCATCATCCCTCACAGAGTCTTTCAGGGCATGGTAGACGGCGGCGCCCCCGCCAGCCGGTTGGTTGGCCTTCAGAGCGGATGAGTCATGACCGTAGTACGCTGTATCCGTGGCATGCACACATAACCCGATCGTGCGCGAGTGTGTTTCCATTGGCGACACACAGGGAGAGATGCTTTTGTACTTACCTATGCCCCTGATTGCACCGAGCTGCTGCTCTGCCTTGTCGATGGCCTCCATGGCTGAGGCGGCCAGCTTGCTGCTCGACTGGAGCAGCTGCTGGATCTGGTCCAGCTGCACGGTGGACAACTCACCAGCTGCACACACACAAAAGAAAGACGTGTGTCTAAACTGAGGTGTTGCTCTGCATGTACATATGTGTGGACCTTGGCGGCCTGCCGTGCTGTCGATGAGCTTAAAGGAAGCCTCTGCAGTGATGCCAGAGATGCCATATGTACTTTGGCCCCTCCCCTGGTATTGGCCCATGCATGCCAACCGTTGATGGCCTTGACGGCGTTGCAGACGATGAGACCACAGAGGGCCACCAGAAAAGCCTCAGACATCTGATTCATGCCTGGTTGACGGAAAGAAAAGCAGCGGTCAGCCCCAACAGATGGAGACGCCCCCAACGCCCCGGCTCGGGTGCAACCCATGCACCCCGCCGCCGACCGCGTCACACTCACAACGCTCGATCAGCTGTTGAAAGGGGCACAAATGCCGCCTGCAAAAGCTCACCTGAGATGCAGCAGGTGCATTGAGTCGATGGGACCCCACGCGAATGCGTGTCGTCGAACTGTTACGAGGGGGGAGGGGGCCCCCGAGTAATGGGAGGCGATCGGCCAGACGGAGAGCATACGAAATTTCCGGGCAAGAAATATGCACATATTTTTCGAGAGTGATTTTTGCTCGCCTTGAGGTAGAGTGAGGTTGTGTACGTATTTTAGAAGGGCTGGACAAGAGGAGACGGCAGAGATTTTCGGCGGAATTCACGTGTGGTGCACGGAAACTGGCTTTGCTCCAAGTTTATCGTTCTGTTTGCTGAGTGCATGCGGCGACCGCTGAGGAACAGGAAGGCTGCAATTACAAAGGCTTCGACGAGAAGAGCAATGCAATCCCCCCCCCCCCC